GAGGACAGCACGACTGAAAACAAGGCAGACTACCCCTTTAAGTTCAAGATGAAGAAGTTTGCTTCCAGCAGTATTTATAGTTTGATTTATTTTCACTTTTAACCAGCATTTATGTCAGGACTACCTCTCTTTTCAAAGCTGCTATCTGTTTGATGTGTCTTCACCTGGATGTTTGGCAGCTGTTCCTCCGAGAGACGGTGGATAAAGATGTATCTCTGCCGTCATCTGTGTTCCGCTGAGGGATTTGTCAGCTAAGCCAGCCAGTTAAGCTCACTTTTACTCACTCTCAGCTGCGCTTCAGCAGTCTGACAGTCAGTAATGTTGCTTTGTATCTTTCTGAGAGTTTTCCACAGTAACCAAGAGTTGGGCAGATCACAAGAGCATGTCCCCAGCTTTAGAAAAAGCAGGGAATTTCCTTTTATCCTATCGACTCACTGTGCAGGATTTAAGTGAAGGCCACAAAACAGATAAAAAGGTTAAAATCTATCTGTACTGTAATGGTCAGTATTCCAGCATTGGATAGCAATGATTGTTTATAAGGTTGTGTTAGTATTCTGTTTGTGATTGTTAGCATAAAGCAGAAAGCTATTCATGCAATTTAGTTTTCTGTTCCTCCGTAATTCATTAATGTCCATAGAATCTGTTTCAGTAATTTGTAAGAACATTTTCTATTCTGTGTTATAATGAAATTGTGAGTTTATAAAGAGGCTTATGTTTTAAAAGCATTTCTGTTGACATAAATATTAATTTTGCTGCTGATAGTAATTTGTACCAGACTATACCAATTATATAGTAGCTCAGTCTTTTTTAAAAGCATTTACTAAGGTTGAAACATATAGAGGGTGCATTTTTATTTCTATTTGCATAATCTATAGCAATAAGGCACTCTTCTGATGGTACCCAACAGGTTTTATGTCAGATTTAGGTGAAGAACTGAGATGGCCATAAATGATTTGTTTTGAAAAATTTCTTTATAGATTTGAGAATTGGTTTTGGAGCATTACCTTTTAAGACCCATCAACAATCCCATGGTACAACAAGGAGTCTTTTACGTCATGTATTCCAACAAGGTTGAGGAAAAGAAACCAGCTTGAGATTTTCCACTGATTTGTCCTGTAGTTGGTGGGTTGCCAGTGAGTGAACCAGGTCATGCCCGTGCATGGCAACTTTGGCCCAGGGCAGCTGCAATGTAGTGCCTTGCTATCATATGTGTGCGAATGTGTTCATGAATGTGTGAATGACTGAATAAAGTGTGAAGAGATTTAGGACGCTATACAAGTACAGGCCACTTACAACCTCCCAGCTCAATGTCTGTGGTGGCACAAAGACAAGATTCTCCAGTGGGAAAATAGCTAAATAAGGTAAACAGCGATTCTGGGAAAATGCAGAATTGTGCCATTTTGAAACTTAAGAGATGTTCAGCTTTTGACTGACAAGAAGCATAACTTCGCATTATTTGTTAAAAAAAAAAAAAAAAAAACCTGGGCAAAACATTTTTACGGATATTTTTTGATAATTTGGGTAAACTGCAACTTGAAGGAAACTCACTGGCTTTCTCTCTTGTATGTGTCTCGTTGGTCATAGTCTTGAGTTGTATCACACATGGCCATTCAGAAGTTGTAGGTTAGAGTTGTAAGTACATGCCTCACAATGTGCAAGGTCTAGATCAAGATAATTAAAAAAAAATAGGCCTGTTTTAAGAATTTGTTTTCTTTCACTTCATTGCCATCTGCTGGCTTTGACTTGGCCATCATTATCCTTCAGTGTTTTTTAGGATTTCTGAAAGTTTTGTTTGAAAGAAAAAATCATTTTCATCCAAACAAATGGGACAGTTCTAATTTAGTCAGCGTCTTAGGTAGAACATTTTGAAGTTTTATTTAATTTATATACTCTCACTATCTGTGTGTGTTCTGGAATACAGGCCTGATTATGCTTGTTGAATCAGTAAGTAGTTTTCATTGGGGCTTTTAATCATTGTTACAGTTTTCAAACTAATAGATCATTCAGATTCATGTTACACTGCAGCCACATATTTATAATAAAGACAGGATGTGAAACCAGCAGGTTAAAACAAAGCAAGTAAGGTCCTTGTAGTTTATGTTTCTAAGCTATTACAGACTCACTCACTGTCTTGTTTGGGATTTCTCACATTCAGTCTCGCTCTGTTTGACAGAAAAAAAAAAAAAGTTTTGGACACTGATGTTTTTTGTTGCTGACATCTGCAAAAGAAAACTGAGTTTGTTGATCAACATCACACTGAATGTAAAAAAAAAAAAAAAAATCTGCTTGCCGATAATCCAAAAAATGTGATATGACAGAATATTTATTTACAGTGTAAACAAAGGGCAGTCACACAGTGGTTTTAAAGGTCAGAAATAATTGTCAAAGAGACGTCTAGGGTTATAACAGAACCCCGAGTAATGACAACAGACCACTGTCCTAACTCGTTTTTGCTCAAATAAACTGGAGGACCACAAGATTAATAGATTTGAACAGCTCTTTGAACAGCCTCTAGACAGCATCACTCAGAAAGAAAAATCAGGTACCGGTTCTTTGGTTCAGTGGTGTTTGTATGCGTGATTGAATGAGTCACAGCAGTGAGCCGTGTCTGGCATTTGACCATCTGCTAATCTGTGTTGACGAAGAACACCATCCATACGACGACGCAGCCTCAGCCAGTCTGGCTTCCAGGAAATACACCCAAATAAATGCCACAGAAATGTCACTGGGTGATCAGATGAGTATTCTGATTAAAAGTACACAATCTCATGCACAAAAAGCAACATGCTCATGGCCAAACAGCTAGACGTGCATTTTGCCAGAGCAGGCATGTATTTATTTGCATAACCCCCCTCTTTTCTTTTTCTTTTTTTTACTCTTGTCTGGTTTTTCATTGTCTCAGTGTGATAAATTACTCAAACCATCCTATACCAGGTCTTTTATTATGGCTCTAATTACCCAATTACAAAGCTGTTCTGCCTCATGTGTTTCATACTCTCTACAGTAAGTTGATATTCAGATTCACTGTAATAAAAAGAACAATAAGAAAACCTAATCAGAATCAAGTCACAGACGATAATAGCAATATAAACAAGGACGTTGCAGTTTAATCAATGTGCTTAGTTTGCACATAAAATATGTAAACATATCAAGACATAATAAATAGCTTGTAAGGATCCATATGAATTTTCTAGTGGGGCTTTATAGAGCAATTAAGAACAGTCAGTAAGTTAAGGAATAAGCAGCCTATTAAGAATCTGGATAGAGTCGCAGATTGGTTTACTGAAGGCTCTCGCCAAGTCCTCCAAGAGAATACAATAAGAATAACAAAAAGTTTATTATTGCCATTTGTTTTTTGTTTTTTTTACACTGAAAATGTAAGCACAAATATAAAAAAAGACATGAAATCCTGCTTTCAGACTGCAAATGTGTGCTTTTTTTTTAATTGTGGTATCCTTCAGGGGACAGTTGGGACATACACAGTTAAATTTTATACTTTAGTGACAATATGCATCACGTTCAAAATTTTGAAACTGGGACTTTCAGTTTCAGTTGGATTTGAAGAATATTTAAGAGTAAACTGAAAAGAATCCCTTGAATAAAGCAAAAATAATTTTGTGTTTGAGAGATTGAAAACACATGCAAAGATTCCAATAAATGAGACTAATGTTTGAAATCAATACAAAAAACCCCTGTTTCCTTAGGCCATTAATAGATGGAAGACCTCTGAAAGCACATATTAAGTATAATCTTAGTCAAGGATCAAGAATCACTAGAGTACTAAGTAAACCCAAGCAGATGTTAGATTTTACACGGTGTTATATTCTATGCTGCACATTGGTGTCACCTTTATAAGTTATTGAACTGAGGTTTTGGAAAAAAAAATATACATGTACAAGTTGATTAAGAGTTAAGCTGTGGTTTTGGGGGTAGGGATTGAAACCATTATTGCTAGGTTGTGGTTTTTACATTAACGTTTGGCCTTTATTTGGGATAATTAAAGATGAGGCCAGTGCATTTCTGGATGCATTATTTAATGAGCTTCCCTGTGGGGAGATGTCTGTTTATATGGTTTTAAGGTTTTGGCAAACAACTAAGAGTTTTTTTTTTTTGTTTTTGTTTTTTCTTTATCAATTAGCCATGGAGCCAATGTTGGGCTTTGCACAAGACCATCGTATTACATAGTGCTCAAAAACAAAATAAAATATTCATCCGGTCTCACGCATCTCACAGAAGGGTGGAGAACATGCAAATTAGTTTCACGTTGCTTGGGAGTTTCAAAAAGGAGGTCTGAGTTGTGTACAAAGACCTTTAAGCTTCTAAAATTCTGGCTGGTGTCACGTAAAGCATCAGAAGGTTGTTGGGATTTTCTTTTTCTTTTGTATATTTTTAAGTTAAAATAAAAACAGCCTCATATTCACAGTCTCTTAGATTATTATTATTGCATACTTTCAACATTTTCTTCTCTCTTTCATGTTTTATTTTTTCCAGCCATAGTCTGTCATGAATTAGTATGTGCGGATCCCAATACATACACACTTCTCCCTCCTGCAGGTTATTATTTATTGTTTGTTTTGTTGTTGTTTTTTTTGCCTTTCCCTCTTTTTTCCGACTTCTCTCTTCTTGTGTTTACATGCTCTGCAGGATGTTATTTATCTCTTCACAACTGGTTTCTGTAATCTTTCCCCACCAGCAGAACGTTTTTGCACCTAAACCTCGGTTATGTTTACACTTTATTTTTTGTTTTTTGTGAACTTCCAGTTCCTGGCTGAACAAAAAGCAATAGAAATTGTCTTTCTGATGTGTCCAAATAACCACTCCACCAAATTAAGTAACTTCTTAACATGTTTGTTTCTTACAAAAAGAAACAAGTTGTACATTAAAAAAATGTATTAGACTGCTCTCATCTCATTTCTCCTTACCACAAAATATGTTTTTAAAGAGCTGCCTTGATTTGTTGGGGGGGTTTTGTACATCCATTCTTAACTACTTCACATTTTGCTGTTTTTTTGTTTTGTTTGTTTAGAATATTCTACGTTTCTCATGACTCACAAGATTTGAAGATCTTCAGCTACATTGCCAGAGATGGTCAGAGCAATGTTTTCCGCTGTAATGTGTTCAAGTCCAAGAAGAAGGTGAGACACACCCTTCCATAAGTTTGCCAAAAACATGAGTTTAACAAGTTTACAATTTTCAGTTGTTGTTGATGAAAATATAGATTAAATTTGCTAAATCAATGAGGTTTTATCAATACAAATAGAAATCCGTATGATGTATATCAAATTAGATGTTACTAAATCTTTCTAAATGGAGTCTGCACAATGTTTTTTAACTGGGCAATGTTGAGGCGGTTATCAAACCACTGATATACCTACTTTTCAACTGTTGCAAAATACTAGAATGAGCACTCAGGCTATTTTCTTAAATTATCTGGATTGGATCTTGGATAAGGCAGTCCAGATTTTTTCTGATCTAAAATTGTCCAGATGTAGCCAAAAAAAAAAAAAAAAAAAAAAAACTGTGAAAATAGCCGTCACCACGCTGCTCAGTATGAAGCAACTATCAGCAATGATTTGTGCCGAAAATGCCTATAATTTGGCTTCAATCTAGCACTGTTATTATGGTAATTAAGAAAGTTAAAAAAAAATAAAGTAAAATAAAAAATTGCTCTTAAAAAACAACCATACAAGGGTGTAGCCTGTAGTCAATGGTCAATAAAATCATCCAATTGCCCAACCTTATTATCAGATTTATTTAATTAGTCTAAAGTAAAACATATAGATTAGATAACATACTGTAATCACTGGCTATCCTTAGTTGATATTTTTCTGTTTTGTGAAAGAATTTAGTTTTCTTTTTTCAGTCATGTCTTTCATTTCAAGCTTTTTTGCTGTATGCCGGAAATAATTAGATAGTAGAGTGTTATTTTCAGTATTTTCTTGGTGTGTAAGTGCAATAGAGTTGAAAGCAATTCCTCAGTCTCTGTCAAGTTGTGACATCCTATACAAAGACATACTTAGTTGAAGCAGCTGTAATTTCTGTTTTCGATGTGAAGCTGTCATTGCTCAGGTCTGAGAAAAATATTTTTGAGTCCTTGGGGTTAAATTACAGCAAAAAAAAAAAAAAGAAAGAAATACTGCTAAGAACAAACAACACATAGTTAGACAATGCTCTCCCAGTTTTCCACTTCTGCAGCCAATTTCGAAGGACTTGTCAGTTAAATCCAGGGGTTAGCTGGGTGAAGCACACACTGCCTCATTATCTCTTCCATACAGACTGACATTGACCCATAAGCATCCGGGCACAGACACACACATACACACACCTACACACACGCGCGCGCATGCATGCAGTTTCACAGTCTGAGCAGAAAAATGGAAAGTGTCACATACCAAATGTCTGCTGGGTAGCCAGGATTTTGAAGCCATATGTTAAAGAAACTGTCAGTGTGAATTTGTGTCAAAGATTACAGACAAATTAACTTTGAACGGTGAAGATTTACAGCAAATTTATTTATTTTCGTTTGTTTGAAAATTGTTGATTGTATTAACAATACTATGTGTGATGCACTGACTACACATCCAGGGTGTGTCCCACATCTCACATTGACCACAATATATGGCCACCAGCCCGCCATTGACCCTGACTACAGACGATGGATTGATAAATTGGTTGTGGTGAAAAATGTAGGGGATGCACATCTGGATACTGTTTTCTAAAGCGTCTTTTTGGATACCAGAACGACATCTCCCAAGTGCAGACTGGACTGTTGTAAATCATTGCTTCTAGGAATCTCTAGAAAGAGTCTTCAGTAGGTCCAAAACCTTACAGCTATCTTAGTGAAATTGCAAAAAAATTGCACCGGCTTCCCATCTCCTTCAGGATTGATTTCAAAATCTCTCTCCTCACTCATGAATGCCCATATGGAAATGTCCCTCTGTAACTCAAAGAACTTCTCAACCCACAAACCACAACCCTCTCACTCCGCTCCACTCACCCCAAATTTCTTCAAGTGTTGAGATCCCAACTGAGCTCAACATGAGTTTTCTGTGCCGCTGTTGCTCATCTGTCTAATGCCACAGCTTTTAGAAAGAACCAAAAATCTGTATTTTTAGTAAAGCATTTCAATCTTTTATAGAATGTTTCTATTTTAACTTCTTTTAATCTTTTTTTTTTTTTTTACAATTCTGTCCATAAGCCTTAGGAGATATTGATTTTGTATAGAGCTGTACAAATAATATTATTATTTGATGCAGCCGTGCAGTAGCTTCTCTCTCATCATCTCTGGTGTGTATTGTGAATCTTGTTCCTGGTGGGCCTGTTCTTGGGAGACTTCATTCTGTTACTGGTGCCTATGTGCACCAAATAATACTTTTCCAGACGTGTACCTTTTAATTGATCACCTTGGTCTGTCACTTTTTTTTTTTTTTTTGCAAATATCTGACATCGTAATATATATAATATTTTTTTCTGACTTTTCAGTATCAAAAATATGCCACAATTAATATCATGAATCTATGCATTTTGTTGTGTAAAATTGCATTGTTTTACTTGCTAATTCATAACTTTTTGACATCAGAGAATATGCATTTTTTAAATTTATTTTTAGTGTGTTAAATTCATCTCAAAATTCTGCATATTTTGGTAGAAATGTATTCCTCCATGCTTTTATCTGCAGTGGCCCTAATAATCTGTTGTAGGGTTCTGTTAAAGTACAGATTTATGTAATTATTTTTAAGAAGTTTGATAAAATCTGAGTTAAGTGAAATTAGCAACAGTTTTTGCACTGGTCCAATTTATTTCAGCACCACAGAATTGACTTATAATAGCTGTACATAAATTCATGCATTTACTCTCATTCCAGTAACAGTCAACGTTGCATGAGTGTGTTCTGAGTGGATAATTGTCGATTACAGTTACGAAGCAGTTAAGTAGAAGATTTAGAAAAATGTATTTCCTTCTGCCAGATAGAAGGGTATCTGATTTAAATCACAATAGCACTTTTACTGGGCCTGTGTGAAATTCTTCCTCTCCTTCTCCCCAATGCTCTCTCATTCACCCCCCATCGCTTCTCATTAACACTTTAATAGAATCTAATGAATGGGCTGGCCTCTATTATTCAGAATTGAAGTGCTAGTTATAGAGCAGTAAAGTATTCATCCAAATACTCAATTCTTCCATTGCTGAAAGGTCACTGCCTGCGTGCGGTTGTGCACTGTAGTGCTTTTTCTCCTGCAGAGGGAGTTTGAGCTCAGAACAGAGTCAGAGGTGGAGTTCCAAACAAGGGGTCATGGCAGAGTTTCTCAGTCTGGGTGATGGGACTTTGTACCGGCGGTTTATGAAAGTGAACTTTTCAGGATAGTATTTGATATTTTATAAGGTTAAGATTGTCTGTGATCCCTGTTGGCATTCTGGCATTTATGGCAATTCTGAACTTCACATTTCAGAAATGAAAGGATCAGGTCAGTTCTAGATTTGAATTTCCAAAGACCTCCCCACTACCCATGCATTCCTGAAGATTAGTTTCCCTGTCTCAGATAGTTTTTATTATTATTATTATTATTATTATTATTATTATTATTTTATATGTATTCATATTTTTAAAATGTCCTGTTCAGCAGTATGGTACTGAAAAAGTAAGCATTACAACTTTAGCAATGTTGCTTCACTTGATATAAAACTTTGTGAGAAATTGTCTTGAGTTTATATAAAATGTACTGGAGAAAAGAAAGGTGGGGATAAAGTTTAAAGGGAAAGAGGGAGACAAGAGAAGAACAAAAGAAGCATAGAGAGAACACGCAACATCATGCCTAGCTTTGACCATAGCTACAGTGATTAAAATATCCAAATTCAGCTTATGCAACAAGTATTTTGATAAGCAGCTGCCTTCTGTTTACCAGAGCATAAGTAGGGAACCTGCTGCTAAAATCACAAGATTGCATTTATTTACCCAATTTGCTAAAAAGACACTTGCAATTGTACGTTATATAGGACTTAGGGTGATATTTTATGAGGAAAAAAAATGGAGATTACACAAAAAGATAATTGAAATATATTGATATTATAGAAAAGCAAATTTGTTTGCAAACTTAATAGGATAAAAAAAATTATTAACATAAAGAATCAATAAAAAAGCAGCACAAAGACAGAGAGTTGGTTATTGACAAAGTCTCTGAACTCCCCATATCCCAACCCAATTGAGCATCAATGCATTGTCCTTGAATAAGCCTGCTCCATACAGACTCTTCCTAGCAACCCTGAGGGCAAAAGAGGATCATCTCCTTTTGTTATCGAGCCAAGGCACCCTTGGAGCTTCTGTTTTTTTGCCCCTGCAGGACGAAGCTGCCAAGGCAGGACAAGATAAATCTGCACTGCAGTCTAAGCATTTTCTTAGTGAATTAGGAGTTGAAAGTCTCTTCACTGCTTACCTGAAAATCCTAGAGGTCACTCATGTTTGAGTATTTAATATTTTTTCAGGGATTTAAGAGACTTACCAGCTGATAAGTCGAGGAAACTCTGCACATCTGTTTCTAGAGACCAAATATGGATGAAGAATGAATGAGTGCCAAATTAACCAATGCAAGCTAAAAAAACAAAACAAAACAAAAACAGGTTAAAAACAACCTTCATTATTCTTACACCAATATTGTCATCAGAAATGAGAACAGGTGTGAAACCAATCATCTTGTCAAATGCAAACTCAAATAATTGTTACTTTTTAGGGTAAAAACAACTTTGAAACTGTGTTTTCACAAAGCAGTTTAATCATAAATCAGCCAAGAGCAACCTCAATTTGAGCTGCCTCTGGTTTATCACAAATCATGATTCTATCAATCAATCAATCAATCAAATTTTATTTGTATAGCACATTTCAGCAGCAGGGCATTTCAAGGTGCTTTACATAATTAAAGAAAAAAAATAAGAACAGCATGTGACGTTGAATAAACGGTAAGAAAGAGAAAGAGGTTTTGAAAAAAAAAGATAAAAACATACATCAATACATCTAGTCATCAATATCTCTCTAAAATCAGGCCAGCAAAGCAGAACAAACAGAGGCACATTGTGGAGCACAGCTTGTTTGAATAAGTGTGTTGCACATAAAACAGATCACAGAAAACTCCCAAATGCAGACACA